AAATTGGAGTGTGTCTGTAATCTGGGCTGCTGCATTCCATCTCTTTTCTTTGTTATGTTCTCTTGGTATTTTAGTGGGGCATTCACGTGACATTTTCTGGTGAAACTTGCATGGAGATATGTTGTATGTAAATACTCATCCCATTGAATATGCACAGCATGCTACCTAGCGACTGCTATAGAAAGAGCAATTAAGGGCTCTGTCTTATAATCTTCATAACATATCATGAAACTTAGTTTCAATGATTGTACGAGTAATCAGGTACCAATCATCTCTTTGTTCAGGAACTTGTAGAAAACCTTAGTAAAGGTGAACTGTCAAAGGAAGATTATCCATGTTTGAATGACCCAAGTCCAACTTTTCACGGGAGGTCACATGTCACGGCAATAAATCATCCTCCAGTTGCTCATTCAATGAGATCAAGACGGACACCAACATGGGCCCGACCTCGAAATTCTGATGATGGGTATTCAAGGTATCTTGTCACTCTACTTCATGGTCAAGAGTTCCTCATAATTAAAGCGTCCCTTATAATTAGAGCTACCTTTTGGACTGTTGCATTATGGAAATCTTCCTTAAGTAGCAACTCTGAGTGCCGCTTGAATGATTTATTTTAACTATTCTCTCCTTCTGCACCCATAGTGATCCAGTATTACGGCATGCATCGAGTGATTTCAAAAAGATGGGTCAGCGCATATTTGTAGTTATAGTAGGTGGGGCTACTAGGTCGGAGGTATGAACATGTTCCACTTGTCCCTAAATGAAGTTGCGATTCTCGCCATTTCTAGCTTAGTGAGCTTATAAGTTGTTTCATTTCAGCTTAGGGTTTGCCACAAGCTCACAGCTAAACTGAAGAGGGAAGTTGTTCTAGGCTCCTCATGTCTCGAGGATCCTGCTCCTTTTATTGCGGTAATCCATTTTAGTTTTAATCTGTAACACGCTTGAATCTGAGACGAACTCTCCTTCTTTCTCCCCTAACAAACCTTGTTTTTTTTTTCTTTCGAAAATGTTGCAGAAACTAAAGAGGATGACGGCACATGAGCTCTCTTTGGATGATCTGCAGATATGAATGTAGAATCCACAGGAAAGGCTGGGAATGACATTCAGACCGTTACCAGTTCAAGCTGTATTCATAGATACTTGCTGGTTGTATCCATATTCTTTTCATTTGACCCTTTCTCAACATTCAATGTGAAAAACGCTACCATTTGATACCGGTAGGGGCGCTCTAGATATTCTAGAAGGAGCTATTTCGGGTTTCTGCCGCTGGCTCCATGTTGGTTCTGTGAATATGTATGATAATTTACATGCTGAGTTGAGTCCAAGTTACATGCACTACTTCTAGGACAGATGAATTGAAACCAGACAATAGTAAACTGTCTAATTCATTAAAGCACAACATAAACAAAACAAAACAAGCGAAAAACATCAAATAATGTAACACCAGTGCGCTCGTATATCAATCAATCTACCACGGCCAAGCGTTTGATACTCTTTGCCAGAGATGGCTACTGGCTTGTTCCAGGACATGGTTTGGGCCGATTTCTCCTTCTTTGTCCAACAACTTAGCCAAACTGTCGGAGAAGCCACTCAATATTGACACCCCTGGCCGTGTTAGAGGCATCACCGGCTTTGCCAGATTGTAATCTGACAGTTCAAAACACACTATAAGCGGCAGAGTTTATATCACAAATGGTCCCTGACATTGACCCAAACCATCAAAGATAGTTCCTGAAATTGAAAATCGATCAATATAGTCCCTGAAAATAGGTATCACAAATCAATGTGGTCCTTCCATTACAATTGTGTCAAAATTTCTGTTATGTGCTGATGTGACACATAAATAGGGCCCATAAGATGTAAGAGTTTTTATCACAAATGGTCCCTGAAGTTAACCCACATGTTCAACATGGTCCCTAAAATTGAAAATCAATCAATGTAGTCCCTAGAGATAGGTGTCACAAATCAATGTGGTCATTCTGTAGAAAATCCTATTATGTGATGATGTGGGTTTAATAATTAATTAAAAAAGTTGTCAAAACACCTTTTTGCACGGTGAGATTATCTCAAGACAGAGCTTGCCCTTCTCCGCATCACCAAGATCACTGGGGGAGCACTCAACAAGCTCTCCAAGATAAGGTTGTGAGGCTGTCTCACCCAAATGTTCACGGTGGAGTCACAAAAGTCGCCACCAATCCAAGCCATCACCAAAGATGGTCTCGATCCTGGTCCAATTCGACGAAGGGTGCGAAGGGTGTAAAGATGGGTGTATTGAGAATTTTGTTTTTCAAAGACAAGACGACAAGGGCTACCATAGAGGGAGGTAGAGGAGTATGGGGGATCAGAGGTGTTTGTGAGATCGAGTTTCTAGGTTGACAACTTTTTTAATTAATTATTAAATTTATTATACCTATTTCTAATTCTTTTTTTATTTAGTTAGACTTGTGTGTCCATTTATGTGTCACAACAACACATAACAATTTTTTTTTTTTTTTTTTTACAGAATTACGATGGAAAGACCTCATTGATTTGAAACATCTATTTTAGGACTACATTGATCGATTTTAATTTCAGGGATCATCTTGATAACGTGAGTCAATTTTAGGACCATTTATGATACAAAAATGACTTGTGTGACCCACTTATGTGCCACACCAACACATAACAGAATTTTTGACATGATTGTGATGGAAGAACCACTTTGATTTGTGACACCTATTTTCAGGAACTACATTTATTGATTTTCAATTTAAGGGACCACCGTAATAGTGTGAGTCAATTTCAGGGACTATTTATGATATAAACCCTATGCGCTACCGCATCCCCGTACCCTCTCTCCTTATAATTGCTATGTATTGCCTCATAATCAGCCTCCCAATTGCCTTGGGCCACACGATCAACATAAGTACCTTGTCTATCATTTGCTCTGACTTCAAGTTCGCATTCATCGCCTCGAGAGCACCAAATCAAACACCTCTCAAAGTTAATTACCTGTATCAACTTTTCTGTCGAACTTGACCACCTTTTCTTTCCACAGCTCCTCACTCAATTCATACACTAGAAGTCCCAGAGCAACCTACATCTCGATAGACGCCCTGCTCAGGTACCGCGGGTTGCCATCGCACACAGGCAAGCAGTTTCTCAACTTGCCTTGCCTTAAGTAGGTTTCTCTGTCATTGTCTTCCATTGAAGTTCAGCTGCTCAGCCAAAGTTCTAATGGTGCACATAACCTATGATCTCGTGGGGAAGCAAAGCATTTGCGACAATCAGGTGCTTGCCAATGGCTATAACCTGTTGACGTGAGTCTTTATTGTAAATATTCTAAGAGTCTTATATTTGGTAGGACTAGGATTTGTAATTGATTGTAATCTTTTGTAATTAGTTTACTTATGGAATAAGGCATGTGTGCTGTACATTGTAAACCATAGAGGATTTAATAGTATTGATTCAAACATTCAGCCATATACATTTCTATTTGGCATCAAGAGCGTAGTTCCCTAAAAATCCTTTGTGATGCGGTTGTATCTCTTGCCTAGCACTGTAACCTTTGCCGTTGCCGTACCCTACTGTTTTGTGTGTTATTACAATGGTGAATATAGATTGGATTTTGGATTCTGGTGCAACATATTATATGACCTATGATAAAAACTTGTTCAATCTATGACACATCCTTATAAAAAGTGTGTGGCAACTGCCAATGGTATTACTGCTCTTGTTGTTGGAGCGGGAACAATATGTCTTACACCATCTCTTTTCTTATGCCATTGTTTATTAGTTCCATCATTGTCCCATTACTTATTGTCTATAACAAAAGCCACTGAACAATTGAATTGTGTTGTATTGATTTATCTTTCATTTTACTTGCTTCATGCTATTCAGGCAAGGAGATCATTAGGTGTGACACTATGAGAGGGGCTATATTATGTGGATGACGTGGATCCTGAAAGAGGTAATTTGATTCATGCGTTGCGTGATAGTAATCTACAGAATTTATGGTTAATGCATCGTCGTTTGCGACATGCATCTTTTGGCTATTTGAAGCATATTTTGCCTAGTTTATTTAGTGGTATGAAAGACTCCGAATTAAAATTGTGAAGTATGTACTTTAATTTAGAGTCATTGTGCTTATTTTCTTCAAGCAAGGATTAAAATATCGATCGTGCAGATAATATCGGGCCTCCAATTTACTGATATTTCGGGGGATATATCGTTATCGTTTTAGGTATTGGGAAAAAATAAACAAAAATGGCAGATATAGGCATTGAAACACATAATTTTGGTCTAAAACTTTCATAGATGTTATGTACATTATTAATGAATGTATTGAACAAATAAAACTCAAAATTTACTAATAATAAGATATACATATGATGAAATATAAGTGGTATGTAATGCGCGTTAATGAAAAGTTTTGTAATAAAATGTTTATTAGAATGAATAAACCATGCATAAATCCATAGTTTGTTTAAACATTAGATTACAATTTAGATAAGTGTCCAACTACATAAATGAAGAGCTCCTATGAGGTTCAAACAATGAGGAACAACCATCTAGATTCATACAATAGTCATACCAAGTCATGTAACCCGAGCAGTTTGTAAGCCATGTTTGAACATGGTGCACATATGTCTCTCTCGAGCTCCCTACTGTCCTCCATACATGGGATAGTTAGGATTAACCCAACTAGTAGGTCCATAGTCTGTTTCATCATCTTGAGCTTCATAACTAGTTCCACTATAATCAGACATGACATACCCATAGCCATCACAAGATTCATTTGAGTTAGTACTAGGTCTAGTTCCTATGCTCATAGATCCAAAACTGATCGCCATGTTATCTTCAGATGGATTGATTGGTTGGCTTCTTTTCCCTGAGTATTGCTTCTCAATTGCGCCAATGCCTGGTCCAGCTTCTCTGCATCCATGATCCTTATCTTGGGTGGCATGAGTAAAATCAGCCTCGATAATAAATGGGCTATATTGTCTTCCTTCTTCATTACCTCATGATCCAACATTACTTCCTCCATCATTATCTAACGAATTGGATGAACTTTCCTTTCTATCAGTACTGGCATCGTCTCTTAAGGGACGTCTTTGACCTTGCCGAGTGCCAAGCATATCCCTTTCAAATGATGAAGTATCTCTACTCCTAACATCTTCGGATATGACTCTATCAACATCAACTCCTTCTTGGGTAGCATGTTGTGCTATAACGGCATCAAGGTTGCCTTGTTCATCATCCAAGTGAGCTGTCATAATCCATTGTTGATTTGGATTATTATCATCATCAGATGGTTGCCCTGCAATGTCAAGAAGGTCTATGTAGTCATTTTCTGCAACCTTGTTCATTTTGGCCTCTTCATCATGTAGCTTAAGTTTCATATTATAATAGCAAGAGACAATATTTTCCAGCCTAGTATATGCGAGACCGTTCCTTTGTTTCGTGTGAATAAGAGCAAATGTACTCCAATTTCGCTCACATGCCGATGATGATGCTATCTATGACAATATACACATAGCAATTTTTTGCAAGTTCGGGGCAGAATCACCATGAAGATTCCACCATTCTGCTGGGGGGATCGATTTTCTTGATTTGACGGCCACCTCAGTGCGAAATGTCTTTCTACATTCTCTAAAATTTATCACCTGGATTCACAATGTTTTGTGTTCAGTATGTATTAAACTAAACTTAATGAGGAAGGCATTGTTTTGTGTTCACTTACCTCGACCCCAAATTCTTGCAAACCTCTATCCCGAGTTGGATTCAACCTTTCAAATACGCGTTGGAGTCCTGAAAGTAACTCTTTATTGTGGCCAACCCCTTTTTTCATATTGATATCTAGGGTTCAAGTACTGGGCTACAAATATGAAGATTAGTTGATGCCCGTTGTATAAATTTAAAAATTGATGCACGTTTTTACTAAGAGATTAAAACATACCAGCTTGATGTAATGGACGAGATAATGTGACATCCCATCTGTGATTGATGATTTTGAGAATCCATTTTTTTCCATTCAACGTAGAAATCTTCTCTTTCATTATGTGAAACATATCATATAAGATAGGCATTGTAGGAACTACCTCTGTGTTAACAATTCGCATGATGCTATATAAGGGCTCATAGATGGATTGCACTCCTTCCATGGCATCCCATAATCTATGATCAAGGACTCGACTTTCAATTCTCTTCCCTTCTTCTGATTCACCGAATCGACTATTATACCATTCCTCACTTGTAAAAAGTTGCCTCAGCCCAGCTTTCTTATTTAAGATGCTATTGATGGTGATGTAGTTTGTCACAAACCGAGTTGCACCGGGTCGGACCAAATCTCCTTGACAGAAGATCCTTATCTGAGCCAATAGCCAACCATGATTGTAAATGTAGTTGGTTAATTTCCTGGCTTTATTTATGACATTAGCCACCGACTCTTGCTTCCCAATATTTTTAAATATTAGATCAATGCAATGTGTAGCATAAGGAGTCCAATAAATAGGATACCGCTCCATCATTATCTCTCCAGCCTTAACAAAGGTTGAACCATTGTCGATGACAATATGAACAACATTTGACTGCCCAACCTCTTTTATGACATCCTTCAACAATTTGGCGATGTACTTTGCATCCTTGGTTTTATTTGAAGCATCCACTGATTTCAAAAAAATTGTTTTCCCGTTTGAGTAGACCATGAAATTTATTATGGACAACCTCGTTGGGCCAGTCCATCCATCACTCATGATGGTGCATCCATACATGCCCCAATCTTCCTTTACCTTTTCCACATAAGCTTGCATGTCTGTGTGTTCCATATCTAAGTGCTTTATTTCATACGGCGATGGTGTGGCTACACCTTGACCTAATATAATTGAACTCATATTAGCAATTGGTGTGTTTAGAATATTTAAGTTCAAGAAAGGAAAGTCATAAGGAATAAAGCAAAACTTGCTTGTTGGGCTGCAACAATCATGTTCTTGAAATGAGGGGAACTTGCTTTTTGAGGAGCCACATTCTCAAGTATGAAGAATTTGCTACAATATCTTCCCAGTACCTCTGCTGAGTGTCTAATCATGCATTTGATTGTTCTCTGTTTTGTTCTAGTGTTCTTGTGTGGCATTGGTACCGGAGGAGATCAGAGTGGGTCTCGAAGGCTTTGAGTGCGACGGTATTGCGGTGGACTACTACCACTTGTTCCCCTTGCAAATTGTTTGCTTCCCATTCCGTAAACTCCTCATTGTCTAAACCATTCTTCATCCTTCGACACTCTAATGGCAGCAAGGTAATCTTCTTTCTTCGCAGAGTGCATGTTTGGAGGATATGCATATCCATCCTCATCATTATCATCATCATCAACAACATGATTGCTACTTTTATTGCCCATGTATCCCTCTTTTACTGTAGATCTTATGTTTTCTTCAGATTCCTTATGTTGTTTGCTAGACTCTTTATCCTTTATCCATGCAATTACCTCATTCTTAATATCTGGTGGCTATTCTGTGCACTTCTTTACACTCTTATGTGGATCAAATCTGGCCAAATGATACTTTAACCGTGTAATTCCACCACTTTGAAATGTGGATTCACAAAATGTGCATATTGTGCCATGCTTATTGCCTTCTATTGGACGAGCATATTTCCATGCCACATCAAGACCACCAGGCACACTAGCTCTACTCGGTCTACTACTACTTGCCATTTTTAATCTATCACACTTAAATATATTAAATTAACTTACAATATCAAATCTATCACAAAAACAATACAGACCATGAGGGAGAGCCACATACCTGAAACAGCAGTAAAAGAGAACTTGAAAACAAGGAAAGAAGCTCACAGACTAAATAAAAATTGAAAAGCACGCAGAGAAAGAAGAGAAGTGAAGATTGGTGCCCCAAAAAAAGTAAAACAGCCTCTGATTTAAAGAAGGCTTCTCTCGTGATAACAATGGGAAGTTTTGGGGGTTGAGGGACAATGGTATATGGGCTTTGCAGACTTTATTTTATAGATTCCATTTGGATGATTCTCTGGCTTTGATGGAAATAAAGGTAGTCAAATTTTTTTGGAGGTATATGGGCAGTGCATTGCATATTGCCAATTGCCTGACTTCAAAAAGTGAAAAAGAAACAACCAAAAAACAAAACAAATATTAAATGATAAAGAGTTCCATAAGAAGCTCAGACACATGTGCATCATTTTCTTGTGGGTATTAAAGATATATTTGACCAGAAATTTAATATTTGGATTTGTGTATTTCTTTCTCTTCAGATAAGACATGTATGTCCCCTCAATTCATTGTGCACAGATTCTTTATAGTAATAATTAATGGATACTCCAACAAATCTTTTGAATTGGATATTGCCAAAAGCCTTCACACATATCTAATCACTGCCCACATACCTCCAAAAAATCTTTTGGGTTTTAATTTGCTTCAAAACTTTTGAATTGTTTTGGGTTTTGTTATAGGTATCGGGAAATATCGAGAATATCGGCAAAATATCGGAGATATCGCACTTATCGGGGATATATCGTCGATAGGGGAAGATATGGCCTTACCCCCCAGTATCGGTATCGACAGTTGAAAATATTGATATATCGGTGTATCGGCCGATATTTCAATCCTTGTCTTCAAGTATGAATAAAAGGGTATTTTTGTTTGCGCTATTATACACTGATGTGTGAGGGCCTTCCCTATTAATACTACTTATGGAATTAAGTTGTATGTTACTTTCATGGATGACTGCAACCATGTGGCATGGTTGTAGTATGTATTGAAAAATAAAACTTATGTTTATGATGTGTTTTGCATCTTTCATCAGATGGCTAAAACTCAGTATTCTTTTGATATTAAACTTTTGAATTCTTATTGGTGCATCTGCTGCCAAGCACCTTTGGCCTGAAGCAGTTGTATATGCAGTTTATGTTATGAGCAGTATGCTTGCTTGGGTCTTGAATTTTCGAACACCACTTTAGGAGCTTACTTAACATTTTCTAGTGGTTTCTACAAATATTGTCACCTTGGATCTTTGGTTGTGTTGTTTATGTTCTGATCTAAAAAGTTCATTGTAGAAAACTTGATCAGTGTGCAATTTGGTTTATTTATTTATTTTTATTAATTTTATTTTTTTTGGTTTCGCAACTCAACAGAAGGGACTCAAATGTTATCAACCTGCCACTCGACATATGTATGTTACAATAGATGTTACGTTTTCCGAGTCTGAATGGTTTTATGCTTTTTCTCTTTCAAACTCTGATCACCAAAGGGGGAGTGATGATTTGAATGATCTATGTTGGTTAGATTGTACTTTAGGGGAGAAAGGGAAGATGCAATAGTCCAACAACTCAACAAACAGCACGGCCCAGTTCGATAGGACTACCGAAAATACCATTCTAGTTCGATAGGATTGTACCGAGAGTACTAACCCAGCTCGGCAAGACTCTAATGAAAGTACGTACTAGCACATTTCAGTAGGATTGTACCAAACAACCTAGCCCAGTCCAACAGGACTATACTAAATAACCTAGCTTTTTTAGCAGAACAACTAGGCTGCAGTAGAGGCAAGCCCCGCTTCATCTTCTATAGTAGCCCCTCACTTTCTGATATTTTAGTGCCTGTTCCATCTTCACTAAATATCCCAGAGGTAAGTATTTTAAATGACAACTCAACTAATCCTAATATTGTTGTGAGTACATATAAGTTACATTCGAGATAGAATCGAGGTGTTCCCCCCTGATAGGTTCTCTTCAGAAGGAAGTATGAGGTATCCAATTGCCAATAATGTATCTTTTGAGCGCATTCTACCTGAATGGAAAGCACTGGTAAATCATATGGAGGCCATCAATATTCCAACTTAGGTGGAAGAAGCTCTATGATGCCTTAAGCGGATACAAGTTATAGATGAAGAAATGTCTGCGTTACAAAAAAATAAAACGTGGGAGATAGTACCATTACCTAAAAGGAAGAAACTGTTGGCTGCGGTGGGTATTTACAATTAAGGGTAAATTACACAAAACTACCTCAACTATTGGGCCAACCACAATTTCATACCCCATCTTTAAAACATTTCAATGTTATACCTTACCTTACGAATTTTTTGCAATGTCATACCTTCGTTAGTTTGTCTGTTAATTCCTCCGTTAAATCCTGACGTGACTTGAGGTAGGGCCCACTCCCTGGCCCAACTGGATTAAAAATTAATTAAATATTAAAAAATAAATCATTTAAATATTTGTGTTAAAAAGTGGGACCCACCCCTACAAACCCATCACCCTCACCCTTCTTCCCTAGCCCACTCGAGGACATCAACCTTGCCATCTCCTCTCTCACTTGGACTTCATCCAAAGCCCTATATGCCACAATCACAACCATTTTACACAAATCTTACCAAATTAATCATTTTTTAGTTGAAAATTCTAAAGTTGATCTTATTGTGTAAACCTTATCCACCACTTCTTAAACCTCATCCACCACTTCTTCTCCTCCCCCTTCCTTTGTTGCTATCCTCCTCTTCCTTACACTCACTCTCCTCACCATCGAGTCCCATATCAACAACCAAAAATATTTTCCAACTCACCTAGTACACTCAGAACCTGAAAATCATCGTGATTCAATATCATTGAGTTGTTCTTGAACAAGAAGATGAGCTATGTCGATGAGTTGTTCTTCGACAGGAAGATCCAAACCTTAAAGCTCACGACGTACCAGGATAACCCCCAAATTAAAGACCCAAAAATTCTCTCTCAAGCTAGTCTAACACCTCCGCCACCCACCACTGCCAATGGTATAACATCTCCGCTCACGACCCATAAATTTTCCAGACTTTGGCTTCGTTTGGATCTTGAGCCAGAAATTGGGGAAGACAAAGGGGATTGGGTCGGGTTTGAGCCTATGAGAGGTAGAGATCTAGTGGAATTTTTCCATAGACTAGGTTGGAGGTTGGAAGAGGGGTTCAGCATGGGCGATATTTGATAGGAAGAAAAAGGAAGGAGAAAGGGAGTTGATAGGTTCAAACTCTCACCTCCATTTCTCTAACCTGCAAGTAATCTATCAACATTAATAGAGGTGGGAAAGAGGAAGGCGATAGAGAGAGAGAGCTGGAAGTTTATGTAAAATTATATTTTTCATGTTCAAATGACCGTTGTGGATAGGTTGGCAAGGAAGGGGAGAAGAGGAACGAAGGGATGAGGAGTCGAAGAGGTGGCGGATGAGAGGTTAGGGTGATTGGAGATGGGTGAGGTTGATGTCTAGGTGAATTGGGAATAAGGGTGAGGGTGAAGGGTTTGTAGGGGATGGGTCCCACTTTTTTTTTTTTAATAAAAATATTTAAATGATTTTATTTTTTAATATTTAATTAATTCTTTAATCCAGTTGGGCCCGGGAGTGGGCCCCTCCTTAAGCCATGTTAGTATTTAACAGAGGAATTGACAGACAAACTGACGGAGGTATGACATTGCAACAAATTCATAAGATAAGGTATGACATTAAAATGTTTTAAAGATGGGGTATGAAGTTGTGGTTGGCCCAATAATTGAGGTAGTTTTGTGTAATTTACCCTACAATTAAATATAAGGATAATAAATTTATTGATAGATACAAAACAAGGTTGGTGGCCAAAGGGTATACTCAAACGTATAGTAAAGATTACCAAGAGACATCTTCTCTGGCAGCGAAAATGAATACGGTACGCGCTTTGATTTCTTTAGCTGCGAATATGGATTGGCCTCTTAAACATTGTGATGTGAAAAATGCATTCCTTAACGGGAACTTGGAAGAGGAAATGTGTATGGTGTTCCCATCAGGTTACGATGTGAGTGG